TCTTTAAATTTTCTGTGATAGAGCCCACAGTCATCACCATTATTCCTGAAAAATATAAATTAAGTTCATTGGTGCTAACAGAACCCTAATTTAGACTCCTCTTCTCCACCTACTGTATCCACTTTAATCCCTGTAGTATGCTTTTATTTATTTTTCTTACATAAATTAAAATAAATAAATAAATGTATTTTCACAAAGATCATGATACATATGATGTGGACTCACTTGGGTGCAGGATGAATGTTGAAGATGATCTGTGGTCGCGGCGGCGCCCACTCGAGGTTACCTCTGACCCGAATCCTTAACTTGTAGATATCTGCGTGCTCGCCGTCATCAGGAGAGATCGGCAGAGAGTCTGGGATGGGCAACAACTGGGAGACAGCATGATCAGTTGAGTACAATGTTCAGTGCCGTGTTTGGAAAACTGCAAGCGGCAGGGATATGTACCTTCTGAGGGGCATCCTGTTCTGGGACCAGCCAGTCGAGCTCAGAAGCTGCAGGAAGCTGCATGCCCTCAAACTGCCTGAGTAAACCCATGGCTACTGACTCAGCTGAGTTAGACTGGAGGAAGGAGGGGGTGCTGCTACACACAGGAAAGCAAGACATTTTTAAAAAAGGGACAGTAAAATCCACAACCTGATTCATTTTAATGATCAGATTTGGAATTCAACTGATTGATTAAACTAACTAAATGAAGTCAATGGAGTGTAGGAAACTTAAAGCACGCTTTGTTTTGTTTTGTTTAAGTGACTTCAACTCTGGTCTTCAACTCCAAATAGGTCCTTGTGTATTATCAGTAAGTTATTAGTATGACAATAACAGTAAGAGCAATGGTGCATGGGCACGTAGAGGAAATACCGTAATTGTCGGGCTATAAGCCGCTACTTTTTGCACAAGCTTTGAACCCTGCGGCTTTTAGTCAGGTGCGGCTTTTCTATGGATTGTCCATGATTTTTGTCATATCGTAAGACGATTTGTTTTGTTTGTTCCGCTGTTGTACGGCACTACGTTGCCTGGTGGAAGGGCATGTGATCAGACACACAGTATCGGGGTTCAAGAGTGATATGTTGGTCACATGTCCATCCGCCAGTCAACGTAGTGCTAACAAGTAGCGCGAAAAACAAACTTCAAAGTAGCGCTATGCGTTCAGCGGGAGGCGTGGATGACGAGCGGCGATATACTTGCGAAAAGCAAGTTATGCTCAACTCCACCGGTGGATTCTGACAGCGTGGAAAAGTGTGAAAACATCCATGATCACCAACGGAGGATCGTGGTGGGTGTTCGACT